AGCAGAAATGTTCATTACTGCAGCCGATTGACAAATGCTTTCAAGTAGTACGTCACGTTCACCATCCCCGTTCTGCGAAGTCTGTGAATATGTAAGGCCACCTTTCACTTAGCTCTATCAAAACCCATGATTCAGGGTGCCCTCACACGGCAAGAGTTATGGGAAAGATTGATTAATGTGGAGAGACAGAGAGATTGCCTCAGACAGCTATTCAGGTGAGGCCATATCAGCTCCGGGTGTTCGGCAATAAGACTCCCTGTGCCCAGACTAGAACGAGAGATACCCTGTTGTGAAATCCATCACCATGAAATGGAGGCGATACAGAAGGAACTACAACAAGCTCGTGTAGCACATCTTATGAGCTGACTCTTATTTTAAAACTGTTCCCTTAGACACGCATAGCTCAGCTCGAACGAATAATATATTCAACGAGAGACTGGGCATACAGAGAGTGGATGAACAACCCACCATGACCGATGAGTCAATGTTATTACACGCGATATTCAGTGCAGTGTTCATACTGAGTAACAGTGATACATGTCTATTACAAACCGCAGCTTGATTCTATTAACAGCACAACAACGGGGTTGTCCCGAATATAATACTTGCGGCCTAGACCGGCGATACCAAGTTGAACGAGTACGGCTACGATGATTAATAAGGGACGAAGAAGGAAGGTACCAACCAACTACCCTTGTCTGAGTTAACATCTCTCATCATACGTCAGTCTATTTGGATGACCGACTATTGGCGAGCATCGTACCATCGAACTGAGTGGAACTCGGTCTTCTAATTCGATAGGATCATTAAAGTAGAGAAGACATTAGTACTAGTCTATACAACACGGCAGGGTTCGCATTAAGCACCCCTCAACCTTGACGAGGTCCCTCAGGGATAGCTTCAGCAACCTCGGGAACATTGAACCTCACACTTGCTGGTGACTTCATCATCCCGGCAACCTGCGGCTTTGGTGGATAATAGAAACCGGGAACCTTAACGAGATCAGAGTAGACAGCCTGACCCATGACCAGGAGAAGGAAACCAAATAGCTGAAGCCAAGACCATGCAGTCCATACTTCACCAAAGTTAGAACCAGGAGCCACAAGATACTGGATAATCAGATCACATATCCAGATTACAGCAGTTCTAGTAGCTTCTAGCATTGTCCTATGTACGGCGGAGAGAGCGTAAGTGACCAACATTCCAGCCATATTATAGGTGAAAACCGAGACAATGTAGACACCAACCATTATCTGTAGATTCTTATTGTTTTCAATCATGACCATAGTATCCAAAG